CTTTGTTAAGTTCTTCGATAAGAAGAGCATAGTGAGTTAAATAATAGAATTTATCAAATTGATGTATCCTAATTATTTCTTGCATGTCCCCTATAACTACATAGAAACTAAGAATTAACAAAAGAATATAACAATGGTAAAATTAAATATCAATAAATAAATAAGCAAGTAAACTTGAATATAATATTTTTCACTAGTGTCAAAGGAAAAAGCATAGGGACAAGTTGTGAATTGTTCTATTATTGTAATATAAATATATTAAACTTGATACTGAAATGAAATATTTGCAAGACCTATAAAAAATTTAAAAAGTAAACAAGCTACTAGCTTAAATTAATACAAAATTCTTAAAGGATAGTATTTTGCATTATAAAATTACATTGTGATTTCTTAACATTCTTTAGCTTATGTGTAACTCACTATTAATAATTTTAAAAAATATATTTTCCACAAACGTATCCTAGCCGTACCCGTATCCTATTTTTTTAGGTTTTCTCGTATCGCCGTATCCGTATCGTGTCGTATCCGTATCTCGTATCCGTATCTATGCTTCCTAGATCAGAACTAATTGTGTGTGAATAAGATTAAATGATGATAGAAAAAAGAGTTGAGAGAGAGGGTCAATGTAATTCTATTCTCCTCAATATGTGTGGTCAATATCACATAACAAAAAGTAGCTAATTGAATACATATATATTGGCCATCAATTTCCACATTTTCTCACTATTTTCTGTTATCATCAATGACGCATAGAATTTGATTTTAAAAGAATTATTGAAAGGACATGAGAAGAAAAAACAAAATGTTCAAAACAATGTCATGGGAGGAAAGTTATTTTTTGTATACCCTCAAATAGAAACAACAAAAACCCAATATAGTGAAAAGAAAAATTGAGAAATATATTAATATGAAATTTATTTCAAAATCAATTATACAGTAATTGTGCCAAAACAAAAACAAAAAGTAGTTCAAACTGCAACAGTACAATACACAATCATACAATAATTTAAAAATGCAGGCAAAAACAATTAAGAAGAGAAAGCAAATAAGACTTTAAATTGTAACAACATAATACGACAACTTAACAATCAAAAAAAAAATAAATAATCTCCAAATAATATGAGTCAGAAAAGGCTTACATAACTGGCCAAAACTCTGACCTAATGAGATTTTCTTTGCCAACAAACCCCTGTTAATTGGCCTAGAGGCTTTTTGTTAAGCATTGCTTTTAAGCCTTCTTTGAGGTATGTTACCCTCTTAAAATTTTTGAACTCTTCCAAAAGAAAGGGCACAGCCATGCAAATTAATAATTTAGACCACCCTGTAAAGAAACACCAGCTTATGATTAGCCCAGCAACATTATATCAAGTTTCATCATTATTTATTTATTTTTATCAGTATATCAATTTTCATCATTCATGTTGTGTAACATGCATTGGCTGCCTCTCCATGCTTTAGAAGTTATTGAGTGCTTAGGGACATCATGTGATTCTCATTTTAAATATGATTGATTTATATAATGAGATTTATTATTTTGTATTAATATTTTAGGAGACAATATGAAATGATGTTATGCTAACTAACAATATTCATATCTTTACTTTTTTATTTTTATTTTTTATAAGTAGATGTCCAAGCCAGTTTACACGCATCTCGACTAATCTTAGGGTCATGAAGTTAACAACCAGATAAACCTCCAATGGCCTCAAGATTTAGAATGTTAGGCCTTCCTGAGATTCAACTCTACGATCTTTTTGGTGGTAAGTCCTTTGACTACCTCTCCTCCCAATAAGCCAAATATATTAGGATTTTATTAATTGGGCGTCCTTAAAAAATTTGTTAAGAAACTTAAAATGCTTGTAGATAATGTATGAGAGTACATACAATAAACAATGTACAATTATTTTAAACTATATTAATCAATATTCTTAGAGCACTCGTTAACGAAACCTTAATATTATTGAATGGATCAATATTTAGATTCAAAATTTCATTATTACATAACACATTAATTAACAAGAAAATTTTGTTAATTTATTTAGCGTTCTTCAGCTCATAATTACTAATTAGCTTGTAGCAGTGCTAAAAAAATATTTAGACCTTATTTGTCATAACTTAAAAAGTCATTATCCTATTTAAGTCATATGATCTCCTTACCACATCACTTCAAACCCAACTCATACGCAATCCATATTCATAAAAAGTCAAAAAGTGTACTTATTTAGATCATCTCAAACAATCCCTTAATAATTTTTCAACAGTGTTAGGAATACATAATGCCAAGGACCGATCCAGTGTAGAACTAGGGGGGTCACATGAACCCCTCAAATGTTTGATATTTATGTTAGTAACCTTATATATAAAGATTATGTTTTATATACCTCGTAAAATTATAATAGTGCTCCTTTTAAATTATATGCAACTCTTCCGTATTTTTAAAATTTTAAGTGCGTAGTATTTTATTCTTTTGGCCATCTTGTACAATTCTAATTATAAGGTCATTCTTACTAATAAAAAGTGATTATTTATTTTCCATTATTAGAGTTTGTTTAGTTGATTGTTTCTTCTCATTGTGGAGTTCTTTGTTGGGTTGATAGGGTTAAACTTATTGATTGTGTATTTAATTGGTTATTTCTCCCCATCGTTGGGTTAACATAATTGAGTTGTTGATATGTTGATAATTCTCATATTAATTGTTAGGGATGACCATTTTGTTGAATACAAAAATCAAAATATTATATTTGAATATGCAATTAGAATAGGAATTATTTTGATTATAAGAATATTACTTTGTGTATATTATTTCTTAAATTGTGTCATGAATATATTATATATACATGTCTACCTCATTAATTGGTAAGCCAAATAATTCTTTTCAGTCTTTTTGGTATCAGAGCCTCCCTAGCTATCTCTCTCTCAACCACACATTGCCATTGACTGCCTCTTTTTCTTCTCTTTAGCCTCCGACAACCCTTTCCAACTCTTTTTCTCTCTCCAACAGCCTCAACCCAGCCTCAACCAGCCTTTGCAGCCCCTCTCCTTCCTTGTCTTCACCTCGGTAGGCCTTTTTTATCCCTGCCGACCAGACTTGGTTCTAGTCTTACATGCTTCGGCTGCCTCATTAGGTGGTCTGTGGCTGTTTTTTCCCTTCTTGGGGTGATTAGACTGATATATTAAGCTCTTTTGTTTGTCATTTTATTCTTCTGGGCTACCGAGTTTATTCAGT